ACAATGCTGCCTGTGATCACCTTGCTTTTGTTTTCATCATGAAATTAAATACTAATGAGCATGCTAAATAAAATGCAATGCACAGCCCATAAGTTTTTGGACAATTACACATTTTTGTATTTTTGCCTCTCTACACCCCCACAGCAGATTTTAAATCAATGATTTGATTGTTTAAAGGTTTTATTTAAAGCCTTTGAGAGAAATGTTGCATTAAGTGTTTAGGAAGTGCAGCCATTTTTATAAGTACTTTCCCATTTACAAAGGATCAAAGTGATTTATAAAGTGACTAACGTCACTGATATATAAAGTGAAGTTTGAGTTGTTTTTAATACTTGCTTGAAGTTTCAGAACCCACGGCCATCACCAAATGCTCCATTTCCTCCCTTGAGATGCTCTGTTAGGCCTTTACTGCAGCGTCCTGCACCTGCTATTTGTTTGTGGGTTTCTGCCTTCAGTTATGTCATCAATAACTGAAAGGCATGCTCTAATGAGTTTAGATCAGGTTTCTAACTTTGTCATCGAAGGATATCCTATTTCTTTGCCTTGAGAAATTCTTGAGTTGCTTTTCCATATGTTTTGGGTCATAATCTATTTGCACTGTGAAGCACTGTCAAATCGGTTTTGCAGCATTTGACAGAATCTAAGCAGAGAGTACAGTCCTGAACACTTTTGAAGTCATCCTGCTGCTTTTATAAGCAGTCACGTCATCATTAGAAACTGCCAGCAATAGATTTCCATGCCATATTATTGCCTCCACAACATTTGACAGATGATGTGGCATTCTTCACACGATGAACTTTTTCACTTTCCTTGTTTATATTTTACTCTTCCCATCATTCCGGTACTAATCAATCTTGGTTTCATCTGTTGAAAGATTGCTTTTACAGAACTGTGCAGGCTCTTTAAGATGTTTTCTGGCCAAGCCTTATCTGGCCTTCTTGTTCTTGAATGTAATCAATGCTTTGCATCTTGTTGTAAACCCTCTTTAAATTCATGAAAGATCCTCTTGATTGTAGACTATGACAATCATACACCTACCTACTTGACAGTGTTCTTAAATGAGCTAGATGTTTTGAAGAGGTTTTCTTAACCCTTAGATGCACGAGTGACTCTACCCTAAACTCTTCCATAAGTGTGCCACTTTTGTCATTTCAGTTAATAATAATCATTTGTATTATATGGGGAGGGGTGTCCCCTTTGTTTTTTTCCATCCACCATTTCCACTAGCTTCCAGGCTGCACTAGGGCTGTGCGATATGACCAAAATCTCATATCCCGATATAAGAATTCTATCGTCCCGATAACGATATAAATCACAAAAATGTAACATTTTCTGTAAATTATGTGAATCTCGGGCAGCTCGACTTGCGGGAAGTGTTTCCAGCTGCGCGTAGCGTACCTGGAGTCGAGTGTTTTAACTGATGCATGAAACTATACATTTTTAGACATAAGTTGTAAAGGCCGCCGTTTTCTTTGTGAGTATTTATTACACGGCGTGCTGCGGGGAAAAGCCTGTTCTAACGTTTGAGTCTAAGGTTTATTTTTTCGCACCTGGCAGCTCTTTTTTACCTCTACTACTACTTCTACTACTCTCCGTAAATAATCTGCTCTTTCACGTGATTCAGTTTATTTTGAAAAGTCTCAACAGGATCTTGAGCTTTATTGTGAAAGGTTTATGTGAAACATAAACAAGTGGACACGCGATGGTGTTACCGTCGTTGTTGCTAACCACAACGCATAAAACAGGTGCTTGTCCGTCAGTAGTGTGGTTATATTAAATATAAGAGAAAGGAGAAATTAATGTAGCCACTACAGTGACCATCAAAAGGATGAAAAAATATTGCTGTAAACAGTTTATTTTGCGACACCACGAAACAAACGATAGCATAAAATGAAACGATAGACGTTTTTATATCGTCATCCGATATACATCGTTATATCGAACAGCCCTACTCTGCACAGATGTTTCTGTATACTATGCCCACCACTTCGTTATGGTGTTCCATGTATGCCCTGCCTGCTAGCATCTTGCATCCTGCTGTTATGTGCTGGATTACACAGCCTCTATGGATCTTGTGCTCAGAGCTTGTTCCTGTGCTGCTGTGATTAGTGCCTCTGTGCTGTCTTTCAGTCCAGCCTGGTCCAGCCACAGGTAGGACTTCTGGATGTCAGCCACTTCCTCTATCTGCCGGTGGTACATACCGTGCAGGGGCTTTTCCTTCCATGATGGTTTCTCCTCTTTCTTGGATTTCTGCTGCCTGAGGTATTCACTGAGCATGCGGTCGGTTGGGGCCATCTTCCTCATGTAGTCATAGATGTTTGTGGTCTCATCCTGGACTGTGGTACTGACGCGCACCAGTCCCCGGCCTCCTTCCTTCCCCTTAGCAGACAGCCTCAGGGTGCTGGACTTGGAGTGAAACCCTTGATGCATGGTCAGCAGCTTCCTGGTCTTGATGTCTGTGGCTTCCATCTCATCCTTTGGCCAGCTTATTATCCCAGCAGGGTACCTGATCACAGGCAGGGCCTAGGTGTTGATAGCCCAGATCTTGTTATTACCATTAAGCAGCTGGATAGCGTAGTGGTAAGAGCGGGAGTCGCAAGTTCGATTCCCAACTGGGGCGTGTGTATCCAGTAAGGGTCCTAGGCTAGACCCACTATGCTAACCAAGCCCATTGCAGACATGAGCAAAACAGATAAATATGAAGCCATACTGGCTCGGATGTCGCCCGCATTAACAAGGTCCTCGTCAGGTACTAAGGAACCAGGGCTCCCTGATAAGAAGTGGGCTACTGGAACGAGAAGCCATCAGAGGACAAGAGACGAAAATAGGGCGCTGTTGGAATGCTACTATGCAAGTAACCCCAGCGGACGGGTTACATAAATAGGATGAGGGACCTATGGAATCTTCGATACCCACTACTGACGGTGAAACAACATTCGGAAGAAGGGACTGCTCTCACAGCTAGAGGTTGACAAAATACAACACACATGCTACGGCAAGGTGGAGCCAGGACGACAGGTCAGGGGGTAGATATCATCACTCCCACCCGAGATTGGGTACCAAGCTCCAAGTACAATGGAAGAAGGAACTGAGTGCGAGAGGAACTGACATTCAATTTATCATGTTTAATTTATCATGGATCAGGTAACAGGCCGCAAAACTTATTACTGAATTAAATTTGCAAGAGTTAATTAACTCTTGCAGCAATGTCAAACAACCCTTTTCCATGGTCATTTTTAAACTAAAAGGTATGCAGTACAGGTAAACACTGATCAGCTTCTCCAGTTAAAGACAGTTTAACTGTGGCAGTTGGCAACTTTGGCATCAGATGCAGCTGTAGTCATTTTAGCAGAGAAATGACTCAAAGACAGATTATTGTTAGCAAAACCTGCTCAGCAATGAGCAGTCATTTCAGCTCTATACAAAACTGATCAGTCTTGAGGTTTATAGTACAGGCTGCCACATGAGGCAGGTTTCAAATAAAGGCAACAGCCCGCTTAGAACAAGAAGAGGTGTCAAGAGTCAAACTTCAAAACAAAAGTACAGAATTGCTCAGAATAACTTCACCTGTGTAAGGGTACACTCACACAGTTACAAGTGAAAAGCATGCTGACGGATTTTCCCCCACACATCAACAGTAATTACTGCATAATGTCTTGAAAGTAGCTTTCATATCTCAGTGGTAGTTCATGAATGCATGACACCAATGTAATGATTCAGTAAAGCACTAGATGTTACAATCCTGGACAATGCATTGCTTTTAATGGAGAAAATCTTGAGGGATAGCTTATGAGGAAAGCAGCCCAGAAACTTTAGCAATTAAGTAAATTTTTTTTTTAAACAAACTAAATAATAGTGGCAGTAGTAAGAGAGTGGAGGGGTGGTGGTGTAAAGATCAAGTGTAAAACATAACCCAATGTGTTCTCTTTTTGGCAACCTTGTGTTATCTTACTTTAGTTTTAATGTGTTTCTGAGACAAAGAGCACTCATTTACGGAATATTAAAGTCAGCGGTTCTAACTATTTGGGAAAATGCAATAAATGCCACTCACTTATTCAGTCTATTGTATTTTAGCTGACATCCAGCTTCACTCATCATGCATTATTTGGCAGTGTTGTGAGCTGATAATGTTATCTACTTAAAAACACTCAGTGGATGCCCAAGCTTTTCCTCAGATGGACTTTGTGACATGTTTAAACTTTGTACATTACTTTAAATAAGTACACTTGTTTGTCCTTGGGAGACCCATCTGTGTCTCTACCATGAGCTCAAACACGAGACACCACACCAGAGTGACAAAAGCTAATGACAGCATGTGTCAGATTTGACAAAACTGATGAGGGAGCCAGCCTTTGTGCAATTTCTGAACGCCCCCCTCGCCGGGCCCCCACACACTCCCAGAGTGATGTTGCGCACGGGGGCAGCGTGACCTTCCTGTCACCCATTCGGGCAACTTTTAAGCCCATAACTACGAGAGTCAAAATTTCACAAAAATCACGCATCAACAATGAAAGAAGCTCGCACCGAGTTGCGTACGCCGTTTGACAAAAATAAACCGGTGTCTGATTCTGTCTGCCAAACAGCCTGTGACACTAACGCCGCTGTCGAGGCTGTGATGACAAAATATCTTTTGGCACGTATGTGCACCTTCAGAACCATCACTCCGTCTGTAGCTATTCACCATGCCCGTTCGCTCAGCGCTGCTGTCACTTTACCACGACTTTCAACTCGGCGACAGACTGAGGAGTTCAGCCCGTAAATTACATCTTATCCATTTACTACAGTCGTGAAGAATTATGACAAAGTATATCAAAAGCGACATAAAGTATAAGCTTAAATTAGGCAATCTCGTCTTTGCCAAGCTTGAAAACGGGTTAGTTTCGCCTGTTAAAGGGCTTAGGACACCGCTTTTTGCATACGCGACGCCCTTCCCTTTACTTCCTAATTCCATTATTCGTCAATATTACAGAGGATTTTCCGTAGACATGTTTTTATCCTACCTCGTAAAGGTCTCCTGAAGCCATTCTTGGGTGCAGACAGCGGCGGCGCGGCGTTCTTGCCTGCCTTGTTGGCTTTTTTTGGACCCTACTCTCTCGGTGTTTCGGCGAAAGCCCCGATAGACGGGAATTAGCGAGCAGCCTTGTTATTCTGAGCAATCCGCAGCAGCAGATCAGACAGTGTCAATCGAGCCCGGCGGATCGTTCCACGCTTAAAACAAGCAACCATCGGGGCGGTGCTGTTTACATATACCGAAGTACAGGACTAAAAATTAGTCCCGGACTAAGAATGTAGCCTGATGGTCTGCATGCGCCCAGCTCATCTGAGCTCTGTTGCAATCCACTCAGCGGGAGACGTTATACGCGTTGTGTTTACACACACCAGCTGGGTCAGATCCCTTTCTATGATCCCCTTTACCTGTCCACTGTGGCGTCATAGAAAGATCTGACCTACCTTATTTGTATTCACCGGGAAATATCTAGAACAAGTTAAGCGGAACTATTTGTAATGATTCATCACTAGCTACTGATGTTGGTAGACCTTCTTACTGAACTTTGCATCAGCATCAAATATCTTTAAAATATTCATTTATTTATTAATAAATTAAAAACGATTAAAAACAAAAGGTTTGTTTTGGCCTGTTTCCAGGGGTTCTGATGGGTTCTCTCTGGGTCACCCAGCTTCCTTCTGAGTCTGGCACTTCTAAACTGGCCATAGAGCCGTGAATGGCTGTTTGTCTCTCTGTGTTTGCCCTCCACAGACTAGCAACCTGTCCAGGGTGTGGCCATCTTTCGTCCCATGACAACCGGGTAGGAACCCCTATCTAAAATCTGAAGAATAACTGGTTGTTTGGCACAGACCAGGTCTTGATCACAACATCTTTCGCAGAACCTTGGATGAATTACCTTAGAGTATGAAAACCTTAGAGTATGAATGCTTTTGCAGCATTTTCATATCCGCTCTACCTTAGAGCAAATGTGAAAATGCTGCTAAAGACCTTAAAAAAGACACCCACTACAAACAGGAGAATTTGAGTAATTTTCCTTCTCTAGGACACCAAAACTACAACCTAAAATACTGAAAAAGTTTTCAGTCATTATATGAAAATTAATCTAGAGTTGTATCACTTGAAACTGTTTTCAACAATATTTTATGGATTGAAACAAATCTGAAAAAAAGCTGTAAATAAAAAAGAGCAAATGAACAACAAATTGCTCCTGTCAACTGAAAAATAGGAATCCACACTCTTCTAGTGAAATTCATGCAAGTACATGAAAATAAAGAAATGAAAATTAGCATAAAAATATTATTTGTATTAGTTCAAAAGAAAGAATAATCCAAACACTGCATGGTTTAAACAGTTATTCTGTCTGACTTTGCGTCAGATCCAGATCTTTGAAGTTGGGGCCCTCAGACCATTTCAGATGTTTTTGTTTGTCTTTAAATGTATTTCATTCTTTCTAGTAAAATGTTTGATATTGCATGTCTTATCCAGTGTGAAGCAGCTGATTTCTAAGTTTTCCTTCCAAATAATGCCGTTACCCTCTTGGCAGTTACAAAACTGAGGTTTATAAACGTTTGTTCATTTCTGTTATAACTTTAATCTTTAGGATACACACTGAATACAAATACTCTTAGGTATAGTGACAGTCCTTTTGCAATCTTTGCACTTGTCGCTTCCCAATATATTTCAAAATATTTCAGTGTTTCTACACAGTCACTGCATTAAGGGATTTTACAGGACAATGACAGGCCAGACATTTTAAAACACTGATCACATACACATTTGCACATGCTCATTACCTCTGTGTAAACGTTGAATAACACATAGTCTAAAAAGCTATAGGTCTCAGAAGCCATATAAAAGGCAATGCAAGATTTGGATAATAACCCCTCCTATGTGTGCTACAAAGCAAAAATATCTGCGTATAAAAGCGAATACTAAAATTTTAACATATTTGTTCAAAACACTAAGAAGACCATCTCAATGTAACAGAGATGCAATTTGCCCCCGTATTTTGTCCTTAATTTCTTGTATAACATACATACATAAGCAATTACTGCACTAAACATCTTTATGATAATACCAGAATTTTACTTTGTTGCAGTTATGCTTATAGGCCTTCAGTAGCTCACAATATGATATGAGATTATGAACAGGATTATTTGTTTTTGCCTTGCTTTTTTTTTTTTT